ATTTTTTAAATAAAATAGGTCAAAAACAATTTCGGCTTCAAATTTTAATTTTGTACTCTGAAACCTAAAATAATTTTGTCAATATATATAGTTGATATATACAGACTGAGGCCTACTACTTGCACCTCAGTTTTTATATTGGGTACTATAGCTTGTCACTACAATACAACCTATTTCTGCATTTATAAAGTTTATCTAAATCTTAATACACATATTACAGACTGTTTACGATATCCTGACTATCTCAAACTACCAATTCAGATAGCCTGAAAAGGCTGTAACCTGCTTTTGGTCCCTATGATTGGGTTTTTTTTCTCTAGTTACTTCTTTAGTAGCCTTGTTAATGGAGTACCTTGCCAAATACTTTAGTTCTGTTCAGTTTTGCCAGTTCTTCCAATAATGATTCTTTACATAGTATTGTCAAAAATCTGTACTACCTTTCTATTCAGAACTTCTCAAGCAAATACCCTATCACCATATCAGCCTTGTAGCTTTCTGCAATCTGAAGACCTATTTGTGTAACTTATATATCACACAAATACCCAAGATCTTCTAGTTCTTATGAATTAGTACGACTACAATTACAGGGTCTTAAGTTTTCTCAGCCATAACAATAGTTACCAAATCTATTTTTCAAAATTTAATTTTCATCTTTAGTGAGAATTGAACTTGTACTCAACTATTTGGGAATGCGACAACTTCACTATTTCACTAAGTCACCACACCCATCTTAAAGATTTTAATAAATTATAATAAAAAAGTATATTTTTATAATTTTGAATAAAAATTTCTAAGATTTATTTAATAAAATATTTTTTAAATGTTTAGTTAAAAATGAACAAATACTATGCTATACCAAAATAGTAATACTTTTTAATTTATAGCTAATAGTAAAAATATTATTTTTATTGGGAATATTTTTATAGCACTATAGTGCCATGGCACTATCTTTATAATAAATAAATAATGTATAATCACGTGACACATATATTTATTAAATCAATATGATGCAACGTAGCACAATATTATTAATATATTTGATGAAAACAACCGATCGTCTAAAGCGATGCGTAATCACGTGACATACGACCAATCAAATTATAGAATTTTGATAATCACCAACGAAGCAAAACAAGAAAAAAAGCAAAAAACTTGAAAAATACAAAAATTAACATTCTAAACCTACTTTGAATGAGTTAGATAAAAATACTGGAAAGGCAATTTTGCTTATATATAACTACCTCTAACCCTACTTCAAGATGATTATAACCCTAAAGCTAATTCGATAAATATACGTCCTCTTTTTTTATACATATCTGGTACATAGATACAAAAATTCGATTTTGTGCGCTAATGCCAATAATATCATGATCATCTTAATGTACATACGTATGTACATACTTATAGTACAGAAAATCTAAAAATCTCAATCTCGTGTGATACAAATTAGCACAGACATGCGTACATATGTATGTACGAACTAAAGCGCCCTAAACCCTAACACGAAAAGAGGACATTATTAATGCTTTCCCTAACCCTAACTATAAAAAGAGAGGGTACTTATAAAAATTGAATACAACCTGTACGTACTATAAAAACTTAATTTTCGCAATCTGTAATGCCGTACAGTAATACTTTACTAACTCAACCTCTATATCGATATAGATATAACGCCTAAAGTTATCGATCTCAATAAAGTTCAGAAATCTAGAATTCTCAACCTGCATATAAATAATACTCTAATAACAATCGAACTTAATGCTGTATGTCATTAAAAACTTGCTATTAAGAATGATAAATTTAGTTTGTATTCAATGAGTTAACTATCTTTATTCTGATTGAAGTTTTGGATCATACAGTATTCAGTATAATAAGACCTCAAGTGTAATTTAGCAACATTATTGACACAAAAAATATAACATTTACTACTTTTAGAACTAAATCAGACTAGTATAACACGAATGAACAAAGCCTAATTATTGATATTACAATAAGATACATGAATTATCATTGTTTTTCACAACTTCTTCGATTATGACCCAAGCCATTACAAATACCACATCAGAATTTCTGTTTTTTACTTTTTTTTGGTGGTTCATATGTGCGTCGTTTTCTATCTGTTCCTTTTGGCCTTCCCTTTCCTTTGCGTTTATGAGGATTTACTAAATCTTTGGCACTAAAATTTTCTTTATCAGATTCGTTACAACTTTCTTCATCATTATCCACATCAGACTTTTCTACTTGTTGCTCTTTTAAATATTCGTCTAAAATTTCAATAAGTTTGTTGTCATGATTTTTAATTGCCAAAAGTGTGGCTGCTCATGCCTTTCCTCACGTTTTACCCTATAACTAACGCTCCTCAATAAATCCTTCTTTGACATCTTGTATCGTATCTGAATGATCTTTATTTAACGTATTAAAATAACTTATATTCATACTGGGCTGATTACTTGAATTAATATCTTTCTCAAATTTTGGGGCGACTATAAAAGATTCACATGATTGATCACTATGTGTTTCTTTATACTAATGAGAATGTATCATTTGAATATGAAATGCTGCCATATCCGTACACAACATAACTTGGAAAAAATGGTGACAAAAAAATCTACGGTTATAGTGACCAAAGCATGTATACAAATGAAGCCTATTATTCAAAAGAATAACAAAGTGCTGTGTATTTTTTTTTGTAATATGTTGCACAGACCACATTTCTACAATATTACTGGTATCAACAAGGTAAAGAGAAGCCTTTGCAATAATAGTAGTAAGGTTTTCATTATTGAACAGGTTAGAATCGTTAAGATTAACCTATACATATAACAAAACATTAGCCATTTTTATTTAATTAATTGTAAATAAGGATATTGTAAATTCTCGAAATAACACCTATGCCCATTATTTCGAGAATTTATGGTATCATATATTACTTACCAAGTTATAAACATTCAATTCATTTGTACTAACACGGCTCGTATGATCCGCAAGCCTCAAAAGTGTTGTATTTGTATTAAAAATTAAGCACTTTATTTTTGCATTGTAGCTTTCCACTCGAGAAGTTGAGGACATTCTAGCTGTAAATGAAGTTAAGACGAAAGCTTTTGCCCAAGTTTCTTTGCTTGAATAAAGAGCTCATTGTAAATAACTAATGATCTTATTATTACTATATTTGTTAACCAATTGTGTCCATTTATATTCAAACATAACCTCAAATAGTGATTTTTGCATTTTGTAGAAATCCTGAATAAATTCATTATATTGATCTCCAAGGCAGCTTTTAAGATTTGAAAAAAGATTTTGAGAAATATGAAACATACAATGAAGAGATTTTGTTGTAGGAAACTTATCACGAATTGCTGCAGAAACAGCTGGATCCGCATCAGTAAAAATTGTATGTAGAACAGCATTACGTGTAGCATTCTTTATATTCTGAAAAATCTAGCTATGAGATTCTATCGTTTCATCATTTATGAGTACTTGCACTACCATACGTGAGCGTAAATGATTGTCAACAATTAAAAAAATTGATAGTGCCATTTTATAATGATTTGTTGCCGCTATACAATCATTAAGAACAACATCATTAAATTTCAACCAGAGTTCAATCTGCTCAGGTGACATATAAAATAACCGGCAAAGACACTTAGTATTAGGATCCCAGTCCACTATCACATACCAACATGGATTTTTTTCTTTCTTTTTCAACAATTCCTCATATAAGCAAGCTGCATCATTGGTTTGATCACATAACTTTGGACAGAAACGCTATATTTCTCATCGTAGCATAGGCATGTAAATTGTATGCTCTGGATAACTTTCTTCTAAAGCCTTACAGATCTGTTGGGGACTGCAATTCATCTTTTTCACATAAAATTCGATGTCCTTAAGCATTTTTTCACTAAACTTAAGAGACTCTTGAAAGTTACGATATGGTGGGTTAAGCTCATGATTTTTATGCTTGTCAACTATTTTTGTGACATAAATAAGCCTATGCGGATTTCTTTTTCTAGGCAAGAAATATTTATTTGCCAGGTACATCCTATATGTTTAGACGTAGTTTTATTTTGCGAGTTCTTACTTTTCATTTGTTCAGGACAACCAAAGTGTTCATACACTATTGTGTGTCGCTGAACATCACCATTGTCTAATTTTTCTACGCGAAGACGCCTAGTCCCAAATCCTTTATTAGAGATGAAAAAAAATTTTTGTTATTGTTACTTTATGCTTTGTATCGAATTATTTAAGTAGATTATTACATTCATACCTTTACGACGTGCATATTTTTCAATTTCTTCTATAGCAACATCCCAACTATTAAAAACCTTTTGTATTTCATAATCATCATTCACATCTTCAGTAATGTTTTCTTCAGGTTCATAATTACGGTATTCAACCCTATTGCCGTGTTCATCCCTACTGCCACTGTCATGTTCATTCATACTATTATGTTC